TTATATTATTATGTTATATAAAATTATTATAAAATTATAAAATTATTGTGCTGGCAGTCATATTGCAGATAATGCAGCTTTTCCTCTGAACACCAATGACAGAACAATTTCTAAATACCAACTGATTGGTTTGTCAGAAAGAGGCAAAATTGCATTCGAGAAAAAAATAACGAACTATTTAAGATTTTTTTTAAAAAAAATGGTGCAGCAATAATGAGAAATTAGCTGTTCTCACTGAGATAAAATTAAATATCTCTCTCTTTCTTTCTTCTGGACTGCCACATATTATGATGATTAGCAACTTCATACATGAGATCCTCAACCAGATCCTCAGACATATGTCTTCTGAATGTTGTCAGATCAGAAATCATGTAGATCTGAGAAATAATGCCCCCAATGTTGAGATTTCCTGATTGATAATATTTGTATTGAATAGGAAGAGGATTGCTAATAGTGCATTTAGTTTCAGGGGTACAGGATACCCATTGAGCTAATAACAGCAACACTAGCACTGTGAATGATGCCATGGTGTGCAAACATCTACTAGATGCTAGTTCACTTGTCCAACACCGACACTGAAGCACCTGTGAGGATCACTTTGCATGCACAATCAGTGGCCAACTTCAAGCTATAATTGGACAATGCAGCTGAGCAGATTCATAGAGCTGTATGGGTCTTTTGCACCAGCTATGAATGAAATAGGGAATATTAATGTTCAGTCTTATTTCATTGCTTTCTCCAGTCACCAGATCTTATGGAGGATTTAAGGAGAAGTCAGATTAATTATAGTTATTTTACTAATTACAGGGCAGGTAACCACATCGTTGAAGCTTCTTTGTATTGATGCAGGGGAAAAAAAAATGAACTGCATCCAGATTTAAGAACATTTATGAGTGACTTAACTTAATACTATTGCATCCATTTCACTGACACTCCCCTTAGAATAACAGATAAGTATCCATTATTACATTTCAGCACACACTCACCAGTATACAAAAGACTGATGGATTTGTCTCTTCAGCTACACTATCATCATCATCATCATCATCATCATCATCATCATCATCATCATCATCATCTTTCAGCTTGAGTACCTGCTACATCCTAGTATCAATACGTAGCATATTGCAGGTGAGTTGAATTGGGGGTAAGGTTTAGTCAAAATTTCAAAAAGGGCAGATCTGCAACAATTAACCATATAACTGCCATCCTCAGCTATTAGCTACCCTAAGCTATTATGGTTACAGACAAGGTTAGTAATGAAAACCTGTTCATTATTCACTTTCACAATGACTCTGGGATGCAGCCCCAGTGTCACTATGTGGTAGCCTTGGTGCAAACCCCTGACATGGTGATTCAGAAGGCTAGGGAAGAGGCAGAGGAGAGATGAAAGCTTGATTTTTCTTAAATCCGCCAGAAAATATGGTGCCTACAGAGGAACAGATAGGGGAGAGCCAGATTAAGAGATAACAGAGCATGTTTACTGGTGGGTCTAAAGAATGGGGTCCCTAAGCAAAAAAAAAAAAAAAACTTTCTAAAGTCTCTGAAGTTCATCAAATGGCTGCTAAGGACCCTAGTGCCTTTTCAGAGCAATTGTATCAAGCCTTTAGGCAGTTTAATGATTTAGGGCTTGAAGCACCAGACAACTGGAGGATTGTGAATTTGATATGTATGGGGCACAGCGTGCTGGATATAAGAAGGAAACTGCAGAAAAGGGAGGGAGCAGCAACAATGTCAATTCACCAGAAGGTTAAAATTGCTTATAGAGTGTATGCAAACAGAGATAAAGTGCAGGAGAGGAAAGAGGAATGTAAAGTGTGGCTCCAGACTACCTTTTTGGCAGCAGCCATAAGGGGGGGGGGAATAAAGAACCATGAGCCCAAAAGAAAGGTTCAAACTTTCAAATGGCCTTGGAAAGATATCAATGTGCCTACTGTCAAGAGATATGAGTGTCCTAGGAGAAAGAAAGGGGAAGGAATGAAAGTAACAACAGCTCTTAAACTGATTACTACAAACAATGACTCTTCAGAGCAATTGTATCAAGCCTTTAGGCAGTTTAATGATTTAGGCCTTGAAGCACCAGACAGCTGGAGGAGGACTGGGGGCTGCCTGAAAAATTGAAACTTCCCTGTAGAGACCTTGGTTAAAATGAATGTTGGGGGAAGACTTGAATTCCTTGTGGATACTGGAGCAACTCATTATGTAGTAACTGAAAAACTGGGAAAACATAGTAACAATACAGTGCCCATTGTTAGGGCTACTGAAAACAAAATGGTTAAGTCTTTTTTGAAAGCTATGGAGTGTTCTTTAGGGGATCACACTGTGAGTTATTCCTTTTTGTATATGCCTGAGTGCCCCCAACCTTCTTGTACCCTCCACCTTCGTGCCCCCAACCTTTATAATTTCTTATAAAATTAACTGAACTTGCAGAAATGGCGAAGCTGACCAGTTTGGTCAGAGGAAAATCAACAAAGATTTTTTTGAAAGACTGGAAACCATGTATAGACTTTTTGTTAAAAGTAGTAAAGATTGAATTGAAGAAGGGCCAAAGAACATGGAGAAAAGAATAAGATGATAATTAGTTACTCAATAAAAAGAAGGGTGGAAGGCATAACTGTATGCATTATTCTCTTTCATTCATTTTTCTTTTTCTTACTTTCCATCTGTTTTTATTTCGTTTTGTATACTTTTACTGTATTGAAAAATTATATACACACACACACACACAATAACAGAGTTGGGGCCATCCAGAACGTGGGGGTGACGTCATTACAGAAGGCAGACACTGCTACAGAGAAGACTTTCAAAGGGATAGATTGGGAAGGTACCAGCTGAGGTGTCACAAACATCAACATGTTGACCTCTGAAACTTTTTGAGAGAACGTAGAATTCTAAATTGGCAACTCTTCCCCCATCCCTCTGTAATTATGAAATAACCATAATAATGCTATACAGTATCTTCCTGGCCCATGAAGATTCCCTCAGGAAAGGAGGATAATTCAACAGTTAACTAATTTCTCAGTTTGTATTGATATGATCAATGATCTCTTGTTCCCTTTCATGAGCGACGAGACAGGCAGAGCTACACTACTCTGGTTATTGATAGCGAATATTGTACAGTTCTGGCTTTCTATCAGCTGAGTGTTGCCACGTGAATTACCAATATTCAACTATCAGTGAGGGGACAGACTGTTTGGAACAAAGCAGGAAGACTCAGCCAAAGTTATGTTATTTGTGGCACTGATGATAGCCCTAGGAGTGGTGCCTTATGGCCAAAGTAAGATTACTGTGGCTAAGTGTCCTGTTAGTGCCCCTTTGCCCATTCTGCACAAGTATTACCAGCCTGGGGATTTCATCGTTGCTAGCATTACGACTCAAACCTACATTTTTTCAAGTCCAGTAACTTTTCAGAAGCAGCCTTCTGATGAACCTTTTGATGACCTCCTGTAAGTACTTTCATCTGAAAAATATAGTACC